GGACCAAAATATTTGCGCAAATTTTTTATTGCCTCAGATAGGCTGATTTGACCTTCCTGTGGTCAGTTTTCCAAACGATCAAAAAGATTTCTCCGATGCCACATGCTTCTTGTTTTTATATTTATTTTTCTAATTTTGTTCAACTTGGGGGGTCCCGCCCAAGTAGTACCACCTCATAACACTTGAAGGGAACCAACCTGCATCCTTGCCTTTGGATGACCAGCAAAAAACTCACAACTGTAAGTACATACATTCGTGCAATTTGCATTTTTGTTCTTAACTACGTCCAGATTATGCACGCATTCTACGCATCTACTGTATAGTAGTGGTGCCTGTAGCAGTTCTAGTCGATATCTAGTTTTTCTTCAATTTTTCGCGAACTCACATCTTTCAGGGCCGTTCTTAACGACGAGCACGGTGTGCTAGCACGCAAGCACCCTGACATTTGGCATGAATGGATTGGTTGAACGGGAGTAAAAGCATTTCCAATAATTTTTTCAACCAATACATTCATGCCAAGTTTCAGGGCGCTTGCGTGCTAGCACACCGTGCTCGTCGTTAGGAACGGCCCTCAGTGCGCAGTGTATGTACGGTACCGCCAATAATTATAGCCGCACCCCACAAATATGCATTGCTGGTAAAGGAATCTTACTTTGCATAAAAAACTGCTTTGTCCTTGACGCATTCCTGCACGCCGAGTCCAAAACAATGCTCAGATTTTGAAACGCATCAATAGTTTGGAAGATATGCATCAAAAACCATTTATGGGGTGACAGTAATTATAGAGTACAGTGCTTCTAAACAACCATAACTCTGGTTCAGTACTTCGTAGGGCCACCTTTGGCCATCGCACAGTCAAAGCAACGCTTCTGCATGCTCCCTACTAACTTATCCAACGTCTCAGTGTTGATATTTTCCCAGCAGTCAATTATACATTCGAGTAGCTCATCGATATTATTAAACTGCCTTTCATGTGCGTACACTTTCCTTGCCAAGATCCCCCAAAAGGTTTTTTATAGGATTGAGGTCAGGGGACTTGGCAGGCCAGTCCATAACGTGCAGTTCCTCCTCTTCAAACCATTCGTAAACGCGATTAGCACGGTGTACAGCTGCACCATCTTGCATAACCGTCCAGCTAGGACCGAGCTCTTGATCAACAAAAGGAAGGAGATTGGTCTCGAGAGTCTGAATATACTTGAGCGCATTCTGCTTCCCTTCTAAAACGACCAAGTCATACTTCTTTTTCCCAGAAAACGCACCCCAAACCATCACCAAATCACCCCCTTGCTGCCGCTTTGAAAAAACCTTTCTATCCTTTCGTAAGTAATGCCAATAAAACGCGAAGCCGTCTGGTCCGTCGAGATTAAACTTCTTCTCGTCAGACCAGACTACATTTGCCCAATCACCAGGCGTCCAGGTCACCGTATCTCGAGCCCAACTTTCTGGCGCGATTTTGTGGCGCGGAAGTATCATTGGTGCGCGTGCCATGCGCATATACCGAAGGGTGGGAGTGCTGCTGAGTATTGCACGCACGCGGCTGGACTTAACAGGGAGCTGGAGTGTCTTCACAAGTTCTGTTGATGTCATTTCTCCCTTGTGCGCCTCTCGGATCAGCGGCCTTTTTGCCTGCGCAGATAGCGTAGGCTTCCTCCCGCTCCTTTTTGTTGTTCCGTAGAGCTCGGGGGCTTTCAAGTAGTTAGCTACTACTTTTGCGGACCTGCCTAGATGCTTGGCGATGCGGCGTATCGACCACTGAGCATCATGCAGGCCCGCAGTTTTTCCTTTTTCTTCAGCCGTTAAGGATTTACCGCGCGGCATAATTGGGGGGTCTGTTGGGTACTTTTTTACACGGAAGGCTGCTTGTGTTGAAGCGTATTGTATTGGGCTTTTAACGCGCTAAGAACGCGACAAGGAGTCTTTCGGTTGCCGAGTTCTTGGCGCGAGAATGTACTGTACTTTATACTTAATGTCACCCCATGAATACACATGTATTAATATCTGCAAAAGTATTTATGCTTTGCAAAATCTGATTGCAGATTCGGACTCAGCACGCATTGTTTTATCAAGAATGTTGTTGTTTTTTATGCAACGTGTGCTGCGTGCCACAGCACGGCACAACTTGGGGGTGCGGCTATAAATAATGGCGGTACTGTACAAGTACAGTAGGTCTCAAACGCAGATCCTCGCTGCGTGCAGCAAGATTTACTTCACATGCAGAACAAAGGTAAAATATGTATGCACTTGGTCTTTACGAAGTTTCTTGATAATCATTGGCCATCCTCAGTCTTTTCGAAAATTTCGTTATGATAAACTAGAACATGGGCAACTGTAAACTGATATCACTATTGTTCCGTTCCACAACCATTCGGCTCTTCCAAAAATCTTCCGCAAGAGACGCACCCGAAATCCGCCACCTCCCTCTCCCATCCGCCCGCGTGAGAGACAACAGCTCATGTGAGCTGTTGTCTGTGTGAACACACCCCCTATTTCCAGGTGCACCACACAGTGCCACCCTTCTCACTCTCCCCCCCGCCACTTCGCCGCCCACTTCCGCCCAACTCCCGCCGCTCGTCATGCGCACTACACCCATCCATCTGACCCGCCAGCACTTGCCCCTTTCCCGTCCGTCCCGGCCCTCACTCACCCTTCCAGTACTCTCCCTGCCCAGTTCCTCCCCCACATGCCTCCCCGACTCCCGGGTCCAGCCGGCAAGTGCTGCAGAGCACCTTCGACGCGATCGTGCGGGAGCACATATCCGATTTCGGCCAGACCCCTGCCGAGGCGGTGTCCGACGCGCGCGCCCAGCTGACCGCCGCGGGCCTCACGGACCAGTCCAACCTCTCGGACCCGACGTCGTCCGGCCCGGCGGACGTACAACAGCGCGCCGCGGAGCTCTTGGCTGCGCTGCGGGCAGACCTGGCCTTCCCGTGCGACGCAGTCACCGCGGAGCGCATCGCACGCCCCCTGCAGGCGGCGGAGGCGGCGCTAAGCAGGGCGGCGCCCTGGGCGGCGCACACAAAAGCCTGTGCACAAGAGGGCAGCAAGGGAGCCGAGAAGGCGGAGGTGGAAGAAGACGACGCGGGCGTAGCGCGGCTGCAGGATCTGCAGGACCAAGGCAACGGCGGCCGCGAAGTGCACGGCCAAGGGGCAGGCCTGGAGAGTTGTGCTACCCGGACGACGAAAGAGGGGATTGTGTTTTCGCGTGTGGACATTCAGGCGTGCTGGGATCATGGTTACGGCGTTTACGCACTACGTTTATGAAAGAGAGCAAAGGGCAAGTGGCACGCACAATCAGTGAAGCGTCCGAGACACGCACGAGATGTAGTTTTAGTCGGACTCATCTGTGTGGTTGATGGATCTGAATTGCATCTCCACTCGGCGACGACGCTTTTTGCGATAACGCCTTTGCAACTGGCGCCGTTTTTGAATTTGAGATGTTGCTATATGATAGCGGCCGTTCTTCATCGTCCTCAAAATTTTGGAGTCCTCAGCGCGTAGAGGATTCTTGTGTAAATGAAAGTTTGTCAGTCCCACACATAAACGAAAAATACTGTCATAACCCGCCTCACTCCATTTCCACTTCGCTGCCATGACATTCCAAAGACCACAAAGCCTTCCAAAAAAGTTTTCCACTATAATTCTATCGCTTGAAATGTGCCTGTTATTAGAAACCTCGGCTTGCGTAAGTGTTCCATTGATCGGTTTTTTGGTCGGATGGATCACACGACAGAACTCCTTAGCCCCATGGTATCCTTTATCGCACAGTACAGCCCAATAGTTTGGGAACTCATTCGACAAGGGCCCATCATCCTCTATGTCATTTTCACCTTCCCCTTCACCTTTGCGAAGTTGTTTCGAGTGAAAGGTTAGCATGGCCTCGAATATTTTTAAGTCTGACACTGACCCAGGCTCGTGAGCGCTGCAACCTAAAGCAAGGCCATTTGGCAATACCGAGACCTCAGTCTTGTAGCCATACAATTTATGTTTCCCGCTATAGTACAGCTTGCCTTCCTCCACGCTGCCACTCGGGCGGAAACTTTGCTGGAATGTCACATCAGTGGCATAACGCGCAGCAGGGTAGTTTTTAAACCCGACTTTCTTGCTCTGCATGACGGCCATTTTCCATTTCTTACCTTGATATTCCACATAGTGATGGAAGACCGGATAAGAGATTATGTCTACAAATTTCATAATCATTCGCTCAAACGTAGGACCTTTCAAACTGAACATCTTGGCCAAGAAGTCCCATTGGCCTCCATGTTTTAATACAGAGAGTGTCATAAACAGGACATCACGTGGAGTATGGGAGCATTTGCGTCCACGCCCTGCATTGTACCTCTCTTTGATGGCCTTTTCCAGGCTGCACCAAGTGGAATGGAATTGTGTCGGACTGAAGTTGGTCATCTGTATGACGGCGGCAGCGCCCCCCTTTTCGTAGAACTGATCATAAATGGGGGACTCACTTTCCACCTCATCGTCCGTATCGACGGCGTCAGAGTCTGACGCATACTCCTCCAGGTCTGCACGGCGCTCCACGGCGACATCGGAGAGCAGGAGTAGAGCTCTTGCAGCCTGCGTGGGGGTCACAGATGCCATATTATGGCGCTTGTGAAAAGGTGTGGGGTCAAGGAGGGAGAGGGAGTGGATTGGTGTGGTTTTAGTGTGGTGGGGTGCTGTGCGGGCGTGCGATGTTGACATGTTTCCGAAAGACCAGAGCCTATTGTAAAAGACCGCCCTTTTTTGAACTGGACCGATAATTTTCGTAAATCATTACAGCTCAGGTTATGACAAAGTCGATCGAAAACAGATCTAGTGGACCTGACAATACGACGTATTCATACAAATATTTCGAAAGTACTGATATACTGGATCAGTTCCAATTGCGCAGTACTTTTACTGTAGGAATCAATGTGATTTCGTGTGCGACAGGTGTTTGCACGAAAGGTCTAGTGGGTGCCTTGCCCAAGGCTATACAAGAGCTACCATAATTGGTTGTCGTCATGCTACTGTACAGTACCGTTTTGTGGATTTGTCAACTCGAAAAAGTCACCGACCCCTGAGACGCAGGAAATCTCTGCAATCTGTCTTCCAATCTCTGGCCCTGTCTGCTGTCTGTGGGGGGGGGGGGGCTGATAGATAAAGCCAACATCTCCTCTAAGTTAGGTACAGCGAAGCGTGAGACTCTTCTGCAGTCACAGATATCTGCGTGTGTGTGAAAAACTTATCCTTTCTATCCAGTGTTTCTCATTGCCGCGCGGCTGCGACCAGGGCGGAGCCGAAGAATGAATGCCGCGCGGCTTACTTTCATCTCCACTGCGTCATCCTCAACATTCTTATCCCCTGGCACAGCAGCATACATAAATCCATCATCTTCTCCTCGCACGCGATGGCGCGCCCCTCGCATACGAAGCCGCAGGAGATGTCAAGCTGTGGCATGTGACGAATCTGCTCCGTATTTGTCAGCGGACCGTCCTTCCCGTGATGGGAAAAAATCGGACAGCTCCACCAAACCTGAAACCGCCCGAAGCGCTGTGTCTCGAACGCTCATCGGTCGCGCTCTGGTAGAGGTGCTCTCTCTCGTTGTCGGCGCGCTTCTCCTTCTCGTCGTCGTCGCATGGCGGGCCTCGCAGGTCGTTTCGTTGGCGGTGTGGCGAGCGCTGCTATGGCTTGCAAATCTAAGGAGACTGGGCAAGTGGGGGTGCACAAAACTAGTTGAAACGCTGAAGCGCTTCCCTTCCGCTTCCGCTTTGCGAGCGGCGCGTGATGCTTTCTTCATGATTCTCACTCGGCAGGAGCCCAAAGCTGCATTCACCCGCGAGGAGGAACTCTCAAATGCACGGCCCGATGATATGGACGTCGTGCGTGACGTAGTTGCTACGGATCAGACGTCTTTCAGCGAGGGAGATGGTTCCCCTGCCAGTGCAATTGTTCCGAAGCGCCGCTTGGTGCTCGTCCGACATGCCAAAACTGTATGGGACCGGAACAATGAAGTTGCTGACCACGAACGTGTACTGTCTCTACAAGGCAGGAAAGAGGCGCAGTTGATAGGGGCAGAGCTAGCCGCCCGCTTATGGTTTCCAGACAAGGTTTTATGCTCAAACGCGGTGCGCACTGTTCAGACATTGAACCTTCTCAATATCTCGGAGCAAGACGCCCCATCTGATACTTTTTGCATCGAAAGCCTGTATTATGCAGTGACAGGTGAGGAAATGGCTGTAGCTGTTGACGAGGCTCTCGGTACGAGCGGATTTGTTGACCATAGTACGCTAATGGTTGTGTGCCACAATCCGGGCTGCGAAGAATTGGTCGAGCAGCTAACTGGGCATCGTCCACAGATGGGGACCGGATGTGCAGTTTTGATGGAGTATGACGAGGACAGCGAGATAGAAGATACTAATAGTATGTTCTGTTTGGCCACCTGTCAAAGGAAGTGGGATCTTGTGGAGGTGCTTCATCCGGCTGAACTGTTGGCAACGTCTTCCAGTTCCGCTGAGTAGAGGACACGCTTGCGTCATCGCATATTTTCGTTTTGTCGCTGCGTAAGGCTGCTTATTATTGAGGCCTTTTGGGGCGCTCCCCAGAGACATATTGCTCTTCGTGTAAATTTAAGGTATTTGGTCATCGCCATGGTCTTCTTTCGTTTCGAGACCGAGAGCATGCACCGGTTTGCAACATCGTTGTAAACGCGAAGGCTCGTCTCTCAGTTGGCCAGGGTCAAGCGTTCCGCTAACTGCCTTCGAGCGCCGGGATGGAAACGATGCAGGTTGACCGCTTCTACGTGGTAACAGGGTACGTCCCTGCAATAAGAACGTCACTTCACTACACATAACATTCTGCGACTGGTAATGCTGACTTTTCTCTTTGTTGCAGAGTCTTAAACGGTTCAAACTCAGGAGACCAATTACAGGGTCAAGAAAGCCACCACATGCAATGTCAGGAAAAGAAGGCGCAGGTTTCGTCAAACTGCATACGAAATCCCGGGAAAATGAATCTATCTCTGCTTCAGCCAGTGTATGACTCATTACCATTGAGAAAACGCTTACCAGAGTTGGGTGCAGTTACATTTCACTTCTTGATGGAAAGAACATCATTCACGAGAAACTGTTCAGGAAACATCACCTTCATCATATCGTGCCATGATGCCATGCATAGAGAGATTGAATACTTCGGGCAAACACCATTTGTTGTGTCAAGTTCGAGACCAGTGACTCATTTAGACATTCGAGTAAGGCCTCACTACAAGCAGTTTATCGCACAGACCCCCAGCAACTCGTTCATAGTGCAACTTTCTTGCCTCCTTGCCCTGTTAAGCACTTTAATATTTATCTGGTGTGGTCAGACTTATTCGCGAAAACAACGATCAAAAAAATGGTCTCTTCGCCACCACCGGGAGACTCCCGGTCTTATCAGTTGTTTTTCAAAACCCATCAATGTTCGGCAAAAGTTTGTTGAGATGGCAACTGCTGCAGATAGTGATTCATGCGAACCTACAACTTTTCTTGCTCATGGAGCACGCCATGCTAGCCCTCGATCGAACTGCACGCTTCTAGAGATGTCATGTCCCGGTGCATCAAATCTTCACAACACTATAGAACTGGCGAATGTCCCGGTTTTGGCTGAAGAGCAAGACTATCCACTGTGTGCAGTGGACCGGACGCCACTGATTTCGATCAAATATGGGGCCGCCGTCTTCAGCTCAGCAAGTCTTCTGTAGTGAATAGAGCGCAAGCAGGGCACACCTTGAACCCCGCAGACGATCCATCGATAAAGCCGGCAGCTCTACTTGGAGCGACGGCGATCTCGCTTTCGTCGTTTTCGATACTTGTGCTTGTTCATCTTTAAACGTCGTTTCTTCAGCGTGCTACTCGCCTGTATCGTTTCAATATGCTCCTCCGGCACCATTGCCGAAGTCTTGAGCAGTTCACATGCAGCAAGGGTCATATCCTGTGTTTGAAAACTTTCCAGTTCTCCGTAGTGCATGAGGTGTGTGTGTTTCATGCTTGACGAACGTCGCTCGTCATGCAACAAACTAGCACTGGATACGAATCCATTCGCATTTAGTGTTGAGCGAATGTCGTAAATTGATGGCTGCGTTGAGCCCAAAGCGTGACACAGATGCAGGGTGGGTACATGACATTGGGCTGCTTTCGGCACAGCTCGTTGCGGCAATTTAAGAAGCGACATAGCCCGCGCACCACGCAAAGGTATTTGCCGCAACATTGCGCAAGAGAGGAGTTGAGTCGTCACCCCCTGTGCTTGCAGATCGACAGCCTTAACCCACTTTCCTACAAAAGGGTGACAGGTCGGAATTCCTTGATCTGCTCGCGGGGGTGCTAACTCGTACGTTATGATGACCGACCAAAGCGGCACCTTATTGTATAGGTGGTACCAACAGGACTATTATTGTGATTCCCGTCAAAATGCGGTAAATTTGTCGAAAAATCTACGTCAGACAGTACATTGCCACAATCACAATCCAGAGCCCAAACCCATCGGCGACGAAGTCGCTTTTCTCGGTCTACGTGCCACGAACCCCTGCTCTCTCCTCAAGCCATTTACTTTACCCCGTGAGCCCCGGGCAGTAACCGCAACGCCGCAACACTATGCACCCTTCACGGCGACCGATGTCGAACAAGCAAGGCTTAGAAGCACGCAATCAGCAGGCTGCACGAGACGCGCTTCGAAGACGGCAGAAGGCAAAAAAGGCCAAACAAGTGAAACGCCACGTGCGCTACAAGGAAAAGAAGAAACTACTTAGTGAATTAGAAGCGGAAAAAGTAGATGTCCCAATTGTAGCGCATGAGTTGGGCAGGCCAGGAGATGAGGAAGACGAGGAAGGCGAGATTGCCGTGCAGCCGCTCCGACAACGTCAGACACAAGAACGAAAGAGGACCAGGCGAAATTCGGACAAGGCAGAGGCTACCAAAGAAGCTGAAGATAACGAAGTAGCTGAAGATATAGACTCGCAAGATGGTGGGATGAACGATGAAATACAATCAGCGCAAAAGCAGGAACCAGAAGAGAAGAGTATCCCGTCGGTTGTCGTTGAGAAGAGAAAGCCCAAAAAATATCTTCCATTTACAAAACAAATGAAGCAGGCAGAACAAGCACGGAAAGAACGCCAAAAGAACGAGAAGGAGCGTGAAATCAAAATCAAGACGCGAGAGAATAGGTTGAAGCTATCAAAGAAAGAGCGAAGAAAGCGAGTAAGTTGCATAGTTTACAATGTCGCTTCAGCAGTTTGCTGGGAGGGCGAGACGTCGCGAAAGTTCAATAGTATCACGCTTCTACTCACATGGCACATCAGTGGCAACATGCTAACTATTTTTGACTCTTTTCTGGGATTTCCATGTGTGCACCTTGTGATTTCGTGATGCAGTCGAAACTGTACAGGAAAGTCACAACAAAGGGACAGCCCTTGTTGAAGCATAAATTAGATATGATGCTCTCGCAAATCCAGGGCGAGCAATGACATCAGAAATCGGACATTTCGTCAAATGTTACCGCCCACAGAACGTCGTAGCCGTTTCTTAAATGTAGGACGCACTCATGAACTTGCTGGTGGCAAACACACGGTGTAGGACAGAATCCAACTCAAAAGAAACAAGGCGAACGCAGGCATCATACCCTCTGTCTGAATCGAGCCCACTGCTGAGATTTCCTCCGCGTCGATTTCATTTGTTATGGATAGAAGCACAGGCGGAAGCATGGCGCCGGCGAGAATGAATGTCATGACACACGGGGCTCCTGTGAGTTGCAAAACGCCGAAAATAGTACCGAAAGCAACTGCGATGGTTTGGCGGAGCCAGTGTGAGGCGTTGAGGGCTTCCTGAGGGGTGAGTTCGTAGGTTTTGTCCAGAACCTTACCCCAGAGCAAGCGGGACACCGGCGGCGGGGTTTCGGGTTTCGCCTCCGTGTGCGCTTTCCCTTTGTCAGCAGGTTTTGCGGAGCCTTTGCCAGGCCGCGATCGCACGCCCATGATGCGACGTTCAATAAGAGGGAATGGGAGAGAGGGGCAGGCGCGGGATAAGGAAGGAGTTGTTGTGGCGGCGAATAAAAGTATGTGCCTGTGGGCTGAGGAAGAGTCGGGGTCGGCGTGGAAGAGGTTGTGATGCGGCGGGGCAGGCCTGGACAAAGCGGCAAGAATTCGTCACCTCAATGGGTGTGCAGAGTACTTGTTGTAGACGTATAGGAGACGGCTCGTTTTTCATTGCCAAAAGATCATGGGACCGTCTGTGCAAGGATTTCCCGACGACTACAACTGGGAGAAAGAGACTTCTTCCCTTAGCGTTCGACGGCGATGCACGATTTGTGTACGAGGAGATCGCGGGATTCAATCCCGATGCCACGTGCGATGAGCTTTGGAAGTTGCTTGGAAATAGGCTGTGCAACGAGATCCATCAGTCAGCACTACGAGACAGGTTTTTTGCCATGACATGGAATGAGAAGCGAGAGTCCTTTGAGAAGTTTGCGTGGCGTCTCCGCTCGGCCTCTCTGTTGCTCCCAGGTACTGTCGACGATGGATTGCTGCTCAATCGTCTCAAGAATGGCCTTCCGAGTCGGTTGCAAGACCAAGCCAAGCTGGCGTCAGGGACCTTCGACGAAGTTGTGAGCCGAGTGTCCAGTCTGTCTTCTGCACAGATTAATCGCATTGAAAGAGTTCGTGAGGTCCGGGACGATAGACCAGCTAGTACGGGTCCGGCCATGAACTACCCCGCCGGTGACCGGTTTTCACATGTGCGCTGTCACTACAGTACTGTCAGAGGCTAGGCCATATCTCTCGGGATTGTGAAAAGAAAATGGCTGACAGAGAGGCGTCGGGGAAATGCAAGGGGGATCAGCGAGGCCCTGCTGGTCCGGACCCAAAACGCAGCTAGGGCGACAACACCCGGCAGGGCCTAAGACGCTCAGGGAAAGGGTATGCGCGTGCGGAGAGGCGCTGTTACATGAGTTGGATGGCACAGAGGAGATTGCTGTCAACATCGGTGAGAAATTGTGGGTGCCGGTTGACACTGCGGCTCTCTCACTTTGGGTAGATCACGACTGGCTCCTCTGAAATGGAGGAAGGATCAAGCCGACTGAGATAAGGGCCGATGCTGTAGATGGACACCATCTCGACGTGAGAGGAGAAGGACTGCTGACGTTTGAGCTGTGGGGATATCAGTTCACAGAGGAAGTTCAAGTGCTGCGCCATCTTCCCAACAAGCTTCTAATTGGTCGCAAATTCTGGAGAAAGCACTCACTGCGCTTGGACCTAGCTGCCAATTGCGGATCTATCCGGGTTCAAGGCGTTTGGCTGACCGGGAGGATCAGCAAAGGCGGTTCTGGCTCCCATAGAGAGAATGTCTGTAAGATGTTGGAGGGAGCAGACGTGGACACGTATCTTAAACGGGAATCGGACTATGGCGAATTCTCAGAAGACCCTCGCTTACAGCAAAAGTTACGGGATCTGCTTTGGAGAAAGCGAGAAATCTTCAAAGGACTCGGACGAATTAAGGGCGTCAAGCATGAGATAGTTCTAAAGGAGGGAGCTAGGCCAATCTGCCAACCACTGCGCAAGAGATCCCCTGGCGAGCAAGATGTCGAACGGGAGGCCATGGAGAGGCTGATCATGCTTGGTGTACTGGAGCCTAGCACATCCCCCTGGGCATCCAACAATGTTCTTTGTTAAAAAAAGGACGGCAGCATACGCGTCACTGCCGACTTCAGGGCATTGAACAATGCAACGGTCACGGACTCCTATCCAATGCAGGACATGAGGCAGGTTTTGGATTGGCTCGGCAATAAGAGGATACTACAGTGTGCGAAACGCAAATAAATACACCCATCGTCGAGCGGGTTTTCGCCAGATGCAGGCCGATAACATAAAGACGCCCACTCTATGACAACGCAAAACACACGATGAGTCCGATTCTGGGCTCAGATTTGCTCAATCATAAACGCATAGACAGATATCTTCAAAAAAGTATGCGAAACGCAAATAAATACGCGAAACGCTATAGAGTACAGTAGAAGAAATGTCTTTATTCTAGTATTTTGTCGCTCGCCCTTCCCTTGTCCATCCAGCACTGCAAGCATACGCCGCGGTATGCTACGATAGAGCTTCTGTAGCAATTCGCCACTAATTGTTGCCCATACATCCTCAATCACCTCCTTAAGCTGCTCTATCGTATCGAACTGACGCTGGCGAAGATAGACGCGACGAGCCATGATTCCCCAAATGTTCTCAATAATATTAAGATCAGGAGACTTTGCGGGCCAGTCCATAGTTCTCACACCCTTCTCATTGAGCCAAGAGCGCGTGAATCTCGACCTATGAATAGAAGCTCCATCTTGCTGGTAAACCCAGTTCTCCATTTCCCCATACATCTCTGCGGAAAAAGGCAGTAGGGCCTTGTCCAGGGTTTCGCAGTACTTACCCGAATTTTGATTTCCATTTAAAAACACCAAAGGGGATACCCCGTAAGGAGAAATGGCTCCCCAAACCATAACTGTAGCTCCTCCATTTTGCCTCTTAGAAAAAAACCTTTCATCTTTGCGCAAATCATGCCAATAGCAGGCATTTCCATCCGGTCCGTCGAGGTTGAACTTTTTCTCATCGCTGAAGATGACTTTGTTCCAAAAAAAGTCCCCCTTGCTTATAAAACGGCGCACCCATTTGACCCTTTTTTCGCGGTGCAGAGAAGTCATCATTGGGGCGGTCTTCATTTTTCTATACTTTAGATGTGGCGTTGCGCTTAGAATTTGTTGAATTCTGCGGACTCCTACCGGCAAGTTGAGGTCTTGTTTTATGTCTCGAGCTGAATAGTTTCCCGTGGTTGCCTTTCGAATCATAGCCTTTTCTTCCCGGACAGTCAACTTTTGACCAGTTACATGCGCCCGAGACCGTGCAGTGCGACTGGGATTCTTTAAAAAGCGCTGCACAGCTCCTACGGACCTTCCCAATTCTTTCGATATGTCCCGTAAGGACATAAGCTGATGATGCAGGGCAAGGATCTGGCCCTTCTCGAGGTCGGTGAGCGGCGGGCCTCTTGGCATTTTTAATGCTAGTTGATAGTGGACGATGAGGTAGGAAGACGTCAAGTGCCAGTCGGTATAGTACTGTGTCCTTTATTGTTTTGAAATGAAGACTACACGCCAGTTGCCCGCACTTTTCGATACTGTATTCTATGGCGTTTCGCGTTTTTATTTGCGTTTCGCATGCGTTTTTATATATAGCGGTCGATGCGTTTATAATTGAGCCAATCTGAGCCCAGAATCGGACTCGTCGTGTGTTTTGCGTTGTCATGGAGTGGGCGCTTTTATGTTTTCCGCCTGCAAATGGCGAAAACCCACTCGACGATGGGTGTATTTATTTGCGTTTCGCACACTGTATCCACGTTTGCGAATGAAAATATTCAAACATTGTCATTCACCAAAAACATTTATACAGTGCAATCGCGATAATTGGGACTGTACGGTGGACTTGTCGTGGAGTTGTACAGCGAGGACAACGCTAGCCCTAAGCGGCCTACAGTGTCCGCGGCGGTGCGCCGGCGGTCCCCGAATACTAATGGAAATATCGGGTATTTATACAAGGGGAAATTAAAGAGGGTAGAAATCCGGAGGGGGGACAACACAGGAGACCTCCGGTGGCTTTGTAGCCTGTAACTTCGCCTCGCTCGATCACCTCCGCTCCGCTCCCTCCACTGCGCGCGATCAGGGAAACTGAGCGCCAACATCCTCTCGCGACTAACATTCCTAGCGCAGGACTGATATCTGTCCCAATTATCACGACGTCCCATTTTTCGAGAGCTCGTCTGAACACGTGTAACGACACGTGTGCCCCTCGCAGGTTCATTTATTGATCCACGCATCCAACGTTGACTGTTTCGCAGCACATTGTCTTTGGCGTCTCACCTCCCTTTGTAGAGCGGAGACAGAGCTTCGAATCGCGTCACTGACGTTATACGGGTCGCATAAACGCTTGCAAATGGCGACGGCCTGTAGTTGCTCCTTGATTGATGGAAGAGGCGTCACTTCACCAATATCAATCTCGATGTCCTCTGAATCTTCTACAATTGACTGGTTTATAATCTGGTCGACAAGTTGCTCGTCAGACACTCCTGCAATGCAGTCATCCTCACCGATAGGGTTGAGCAGATCTTTAATGTCGGATATGGTTTCTGCTTCCGCCAAATCCAACGCCCGATTCATCTGGTACTTCCTATACTGTACTTTCATTGACGCTATAATTCCGGCGTCACATAGTTGTAATTCTGACGTTGTATTAGGAGCAAGGAAGCACAGTTAAATATTCTGTAGCGAAGGTGCAGTCTCTAAAGTGCCGTGAGCGCTGCAGTTGTCAACAAGCAGAAGAATCTTTCGACCTTGCGAAGTGAAGTGTGCATCGAGCCGTTTCAGCCACTCGTAGAAAACTTCTGATGTCATCCAGGCCCTCTTATTGGCATGGTAGTCAAGCCCATAATCCTGTCCAGACTTTTTTGAATAGTCTCGGTCGCAAGGCGGTTCCAATGAACATGGGTTCAACCTTTTCTGAACCATCCGCGTTTGCGCACTCTAACACTGTGATGCGGTCCTTTGCCTTTCTGAGACCAGGAGGGCGTTGCATAGCAACCGTGCGTTCGGGAGCAAGCTCGTAGAAGAGGCTGCACTCATCAGCATTGAAAACATTTCTCCGATCGTACCGTCTTATCTTCTCCTTCAGCCCCGGAAGAGAATCGTCGGCCGCACCCACATCGGCATCACCGCCTTCTCCATGCGTCTTGAAGAAACGCAGACTCCAACGACGTTTGAAGTTTGCCACCCACCCGGCGCTGAAGTTTAGCTTCGTTCTCTCGCTTCGCTGCAGCGTTCCATTACACAGGGCTTGGAGCTTCTTGGCCGTTGCATTGATTAAAGGACCGTTAATCATCCTTTGCAAGGATGCTTGATCACAAATCCAGGAGAAGAGTGCCCGCTCAAGTTCCGGTTTTGCACCTCGCTTCATTCGAATTGATTTGCTCACCCCTAGTTGAGGTTACAGAGTGGTGATGTTTCTTGCTTGCTTGAGGACGCGAGCAACCGTTGACTTTCCCGGGGTCGTGTAGAGGCGAAATGTTTCCTGACACCACAGCGCCATGACACAACATGTCGCACTCTCATGACTCTCACTGCGGCGGAGCACTTCGTTAAGCAGGGAGCGCTTCTGCGCTTCGTTAAGCGTGGCGTACTTCATAGCACTGCAGCTTTCAGGACGGTTCAGTATCTGGATGAGCTGAGATTCGCGGAGAGGAGAGGGAATCGAGCGACAAGTCAGATCTAAGCGTTCAAGTCTGCTGCCGTGCTGTGCTCTTTGATTTTGCTGAACGTTGAAGAACCCCCCTCCAGAGGGTCCACGGAATCCAGAAAATCAGTCCCAATTATCAATTTTGGGACAACCGTAAAATTTGATTAAATTTTAAATAAATTTAATCGTAAAATGTGATTAAATTTTAAAGGGAACGAGGACGGTGGACTGATTTCTGTCCCGTTTATCACGACGTCCTAATTATCGAGGTCCCAATTATCGCGACTGCACTGGGTGCATCCAGAAAATAACACTGTATCACTCGACTACTTTTTTGACCAATCAGCGACCGATAAAGTGGTCGCCGGCTGACTACTTTTGACCATCTGATCAAGCCCTCTCGACCCCTCTCCACTCCACCACTCCCGCACCACTTCCCATTCCATCCTTGCGCACTGGAGTTCCACATTCCAAGACCCCTCTCTCGAGCTGTCGGTGATGCCCGCTTCGCCAATGCCCTTTCAGAACAGCCGCAAGCACACTCTGGCAGCTCTAGTGTCTAGCCGACAATTTTCCTCAATTGAGGAAAACTGCATGAATTAATACACAGTTTTGGCGCTAAGACTGTAGCAATACCGAAACACCACACAAACCAGAGACCGTATGGGTCAGTACCCCGCCTTTTTGTGCAACCATTCCACTGAAGAAGTCTCGAGAATATTGAAACCCACCTGTTTCCCAGACCCTTCCATTCTTACCACTCCCATCAATTTGTTCCGTGGATCAGCGCCGTTCATTTAAAATGGGGAAGGACTCTCGCCTCATTGTTGGTGCTGAAGTGCACACGAAAGCCCGCTACGTGACCAGCAACGCTGAGTGTCAGCGTCGATACGGTTCCCTACGGAATACAAGGACAGTTGCAGGTGTTGTTGAAAACACTCGACAAGAGCAGGGCAAGAAGAATCGCGTCACGTTTATTGAGGGAGCTGTGGGATAACTCCTCTCCGCCCTGGGTTGGGTGAGAGGCGGAGGCTTTAGCGAGGGAGCACGCGGCGCGGACGCGACGCGCCAATTGAACCGATCGGACGAGCTCGCGAAAAGGGAGTGGCTCACTGGCCGGTTACGCGCAGTCGCCCTGTGGTGCGTAAACGGGAGCGACCGGTAACGGGTTAGAAGCCAGCGCGCGCGGCGGACAACCGAAACGGACGTACGTAGGCGCAAAAGGGACGGGGGCGAGCTTGCCCCCGTTTACTGGTGGGGACGGGTGCCAGGTCTTAACCCCGCAGGGGGACGCCTCGGACACCTGTCCCAGTACAGTAGTACAGTACCTGCCGCCTAGTGCGTGCCGGGTACTGTACACAATTAAAAAACTAGCGCCATAATTGCTACTACCGCACGGACGCTGCTACTACACGTGTGCACCACTGTACACGCGTGTTGCTTACGGACTACCGCACGGACGACACGTGTGCTAACGCACACGCGTAACACGCGTAGACTACCGCTCGGACGACACGTGCACTACTGTACACGTACGCCAGATTACGACCGCTCGGCATGCGCGCGCGCTCGCTACACGTGGGCACAGCCGCCCACGTGTATACCGTATACGGCCGTCCGATGACCTCCGCGCGCTCGCGCCCGTCATTATACTACAGACCTCCCCCCTTAGCTTTCGCTACGTCCCCGTAGCGACCCTCTACTCGAGCGCGCGGGTCCGTTCCGGACGTTTCCTTCTATCGCGCACGATGCGGGAACAGAAGCCCCTCCGCGTGGACGATCATGCCCCCTGGCTCGTCAGCGAGCTGGCGGTATATAACGCCGCGAGTTCGACCGATTCGGAGAGCGCGTCTTCCGATTCTCCCCACGCGATCCACACTGACCCCCCAACTCTTCCCCAGCACTCCCCTGCGAACTCCGAAACCTCCTCCGACAGCGACGACGACATTCCCCTACAGCAGCTCTTCAACCAACCGATGGACGGTCATCGCGACACGCCAGCTGTGCGCGCGTACAGGCAGCCGTTGAGCCCGCCTCGGGCTCCGGCAGCGACGCCGGTCGGTCCCACCTTCCAACCGCGGCGACGCCTTCGCGACGGCCTGCACCCGCCCCCTGGAGTGGCGGGGCCCGCGCAAGCGCCAATTGATTCGCCCGTACCGGTCGCTCCGCCACCGCCGGGCGCCCAAGCAACACAGTCCCCGCCGCTGCCCCTCGTGGGCGTGGCTCCAAGAATGGTCGAGGCGGACCCGGAGCTCCCCGTGGAGCTGCCGCCGCCTCCCATGTCGCCACTGCCCGCTGCGGGTACGGCGCTCACAAGGGCCGCTTCCGAGGCGCCGTACGCGGCGCCGGCGCCGTCGAGTAGCGTAGCGCTTGCGCCGACCGGACGGGGAGCGACAACGTCGCTGGGGCGGGTATTCACCGCCCCGAGTACCCCGGGCTGGCTGCGCAGCGGCGTTGGTTCCGTACGGTCGCTGTGGCCCGGGTCCTCGATGGACCACCGCCGCCGGCGCGCACGCCGACGCGCTGCGGGCCGCAAGCCTCCGCTTACGGTCGAGGAGTACGTTCAGCGGAACTTGCTGGACGCGGCGAGGTTCGCGGCCATTCCGATGGTGCGCGCGATCAAGACTCCGTCCGGACGCGGTGCCGTTGCGCAAGAGAACCGCGCCGGCCCGTGGAAGGCGCGGTGGCGTCACGCCCCGTGTCGGACGCCGGCCGCGGCGGGCAGTGACTTGCTCTACGTCCGCTGCGAGGGCGAGGAAAAGTACCACAT